CCATGCCCAGCCAATTTTGTGCTTTAAAAAGGTAAAGGAGGGCCGGGCGCGGTGGCTCAAGCCTGTAATCCCAGCACTTTGGGAGTCCGAGGCGGGTGGATCACGAGGTCGAGAGATCGAGACCATCCTGGTCAACATGGTGAAACCCCGTCTCTACTAAAAGTGCAAAAAATTAGCTGGGCATGGTGGCACGTGCCTGTAATCCCAGCTACTCAGGAGGCTGAGGCAGGAGAATTGCCTGAGCCCAGGAGGCGGAGGTTGCGGTGAGCCGAGATCACGCCATTGCACTCCAGCCTGGGTAACAAGGGTGAAACTCCGTCTCAAAAAAAAAAAAAAAAAAGTAAAGGAAGCTGGGCTTGGTGGCTCATGTCTGTAATCCCAACCTCTGAGGTGGGAGGATTACTTAAGCCCAGGATTTCTTTTTTTTTTTTCTTTATAAATTTTCTTTTCTTTTTTTTTTTTTTTTTTTGAGGTGGAGTCTCGTTCTGTAGCCCAGGCTGGAGTGCAGTGGCGCCATCTTGGCTCACTGCAACCTCCGCCTCCCGGCCCTGGTTAAAGCAATTCTCATACCTCCGTCTCCCAAGTAGCTGGGATTACAGGCATGAGCCACCATGCCCAGCTAATTTTTGTATTTTTTAGTAGAGACAGGGTTTCACCATGTTGGCCGATCTGGTCTTGAACTCTGGACCTTGTGGTCCGCCCGCCTTGGCCTCCCAAAGTGCTGGGATTACAGGCTTGAACCACAGTGCCTGGCCCATTTTTTTTTTTTTACAGATGGTATTTCACCATGATGGCCAGGCTGGTCTTGAACTCCTGACCTCAGGTGATCCACCCACCTCGGCCTCCCAAAGTGCTAGGATTACAGGCATGAGCCACCATGCCCGACCTAAGCCCAGGATTTCAAGACCAGCCTGAGCAACATAACAAGACTCCATCTCTACCTAAAACAAAAAAACAAAAAAACAAAAAACCCAAGCATGGTGGCATATGCCTGTAGTCCCAGCTACTTGGGAGGCTGAGGCAAAGGATTCCTGGAGCCCAGAAGTTTGAGGCTGCAATGAGCTATGATTGCACTACTGTACTTTAGCCTGGGCAACAAGGCAAGACCCTGTCTCAAATGGGGAGGGGACAAGAAACATAAGTATACACATATGTGTGCTTGTAAACTCTGAGAAGGGAAACAGCTAGGAGTCTGCAGTAGAAGAAGAGCCTTCCTTTTTAATATACGCTCTTTTGTAGTGTATTATCATTTCAATAAAAACAAAAAATAGGCCGGCGCGGTGGCTCACACGTGTAATCCCAACACTTTGGGAGGCCAAGGCAGGTGGATCACCTGAGGTCAGGAGTTCGAGACCAGCCTGACCAACATGGAGAAACCCTGTCTCTCCTAAAAGTAAAAAATTAGCCAGGCATGGTGGCACATGCCTGTAATCCCAGCTACTCAGGAGGCTGAGGCAGGAGAATTGCTTGAACTCGGGAGGCAGAGGTTGCAGTGAGCCAAGATCTTGACATGTACTCCAGCAAAGAAAACAAGAGCAAAACTCTGTCTCAAAAAAATAAAATAGGGCCGGGCGCGGTGGCTCAAGCCTGTAATCCCAGCACTTTGGGAGGCCGAGGCGAGTGGATCACGAGGTCAAGAGATCGAGACCATCCTGGTCAACATGGTGAAACCCCGTCTCTACTAAAAATACAAAAAAAATTAGCTGGGCATGGTGGTGCATGCCTGTAATCCCAGCTACTCGGGAGGCTGAGGCAGGAGAATTGCCTGAACCCAGGAGGCGGAGGTTGCGGTGAGCCGAGATCGCGCCATTGCACTCCAGCCTGGGTAACAAGAGCAAAACTCTGTCTCAAAAAATAAAAAAATAAAAAAATAAAAATAATACAATAAAAAATATAGGCACAGGCTCTAGATGTTGGAAACCTTGCTCCATCATTTTTTTAGCTGAGTAGCCTTAACCCTCTAACCCTCAGTGTCCTCAACTATAAGATGGGGCTAATAAACTTCCTCTATATGACTGGCAGAAAAATTAGATCATATATAGAAAGGACCTAAAATAGTACATGACCCAAAAAAGTAGTATTAGAGGCAAAAAGCCCTGAATCAGAAGTAAGTTTACAAGTAGCTGCAGACAAGTCACATGACCCCCTGTAGTCCGGTTGCCCCCTGTCCCTAGTTGGACCAGATGGTCCCTAAGTCTCCTTACTTTTTTTTTGTTTGTTTGAGATGAAGTCTTGCTCTTGTCCGCTAGGCTGGAGCACAATGGCGCGATCTCAGCTCATTGCAACCTCCGCCTTCTGGGTTCAAGTGATTCGCCTGCCTAAGCCTCCTGAGTAGCTGGGATTATAGGTACCCGCCACCACATCTGGCTAATTTTTGCTTTTTTTTTTTTTTTTTTGAGATGGAGTTTCGCTCTTGTTACCCAGGCTGGAGTGCAATGGCGCGATCTCGGCTCACCGCAACCTCCGCCTCCTGGGTTCAGGCAATTCTCCTGCCTCAGCCTCCTGAGTAGCTGAGATTACAAGCACACGCCACCATGCCCAGCTAATTTTTTATGTTTTTAGTAGAGACGGGGTTTCACCATGTTGACCAGGATGGTCTCGATCTCTTGACCTCGTGATCCACCCGCCTCGGCCTCCCAAAGTGCTGGGATTACAGGCTTGAGCCACCGCGCCCGGCAATTTTTGCATTTTTGATAGAGACAGGGTTTCGCTATGTTGGCCAGGCTGGTCTCAAACTCCTGACCTCAAGTGATCCAACAGCCTCAGCCTCCCATAGTGCTGGGATTACAGGTGTAAGCCAGCACCTGGCCTTTCTTTTTTTTTTTTTTTTTTTTTTTGAAGTAGAGTCTCTCCGTCGCCCAGGCTGGAGTGCAGTCATGTTATCTCAGCTCACTGCAACCTCAGCCTCCCCAATAGCTGGAATTACAGGTGCGAGACACCACCCCCAGCTAATTTTTTAAAATTTTTAGTAGAGACAAGGTTTTACCATATTGGCTGGGCTGGTCTCAAACTCCTGACCTCAAATGACCCACCTACCTCGGCCTCCCAAGTGCTGGGATTAAAGGCGTCAATCACCGTTCCTGGCCTCAGTCGCCTTACTTTTGTTTCCCTCTTCCTTTGAAACCTGTCTCTTGCTAGAAGTTCTAGCTCCCAAGCCAGGAGGATTTTGTGGAGAAATAGGAGTGCCTGTGAGTGGGTACTTTTGACACCCTCCCAATTCCATATCAGACCATAAAATTGGAGCATTGGTCATGAAAAATGGAAACTGTAGTGGCAGACTTTTTTTTTTTTTTTTTTTTTGTGAGACGGAGTTTCGCTTTTGTTACCCAGGCTGGAGTGCAATGGCACGATCTCGGCTCACTGCATCCTCCGCCTCCTGGGTTCAGGCAATTCTCCTGCCTCAGCCTCCTGAGTAGCTGGGATTACAGGCACGCGCCACCGTGCCCAGCTAATTTTTTTTATTTTTTAGTAGAGACGGGGTTTCACCATGTTGACCAGGATGGTCTCGATCTCTTGACCTCATGATCCACCTGCCTCAGCCTCCCAAAGTGCTAGGATTACAGGCTTGAGCCACCGTGCCCGGCTGACTTTTTTTTTTTTTTTTTTTTTTTTTTGGAGACAATCTCACTCATTCTGCCCAGGGTGGAGTTCAGTGGTTCAATCTCAGCTCACTGCAACCTCTGCCTCCTGGGGTTCAAGTGATTCTCCTACCTCAGCTCTGAGTAGCTGGGATTATAGGCATGAGCCACCAGGCCTGGCAAATTTTTGTATTTTGGTAGAGACAGGGTTTTACTGTGTTGGCCAGGCTGGTTTTGAACTCCTGACCTCAGGTGATCCGCCCGCCTTGGTCTCCCAAAGTGTTGGGATTACAGGGGTGAGCCATCGCACCCAGCCTGGTGGCAGACTTTTATAGTAGGGGCAAGGAAAGGCATGATTGTTCAATAAATAGCCTCCTGGGTTTCATAAAATAGGTGCCTGTTCATGAAGTGACATAGGGTTTTATGGGGCACTGGAGAGGAAAATGCTGGTCATCAGTTGCTCTAAGAGCAACCATATCTGGGCAGTCTTGCCTGTCTGTAGTCCTGAGGTCTCTGCCATGCTTTGGGACTGAATGACAGGGTCTGGGATCTATGATTGGACTTGGGAGTCAGGGGAGCAGAAGCCCCAAGGCCATGTAGCTAGGCATGGAGTGAGTGAGAAACACAATGGGAAGCTTATCTTAGTATAAGGGCTAGTGCCACCCCTGCCTCCTCCTCTAACCCGAGATGGCCATGCATTATCTTCTTTTTTTCTGCCTAGGCTGGAGTGTAGTGGCACAATCACAGCTCATTATAGCCTTGACCTCCGAGGCTCAAATGATCCTCCCAACCTCAGCCTCCTAAGTAGCTGGGACTATAGGCATGTGCCACCACACCTGGCTAATTTTTTTTTTTTTTTTTTTTTTTTTGAGACGGAGTTTCGCTCTTGTTACCCAGGCTGGAGTGCAATGGTGCGATCTCGGCTCACCGCAATCTCCGCCTCCTGGGTTCAGGCAATTCTCCTGCCTCAGCCTCCTGAGTAGCTGGGATTACAGGCATGCGCCACCATGCCCAGCTAATTTTTTTGTATTTTTTAGTAGAGACGGGGTTTCACCATGTTGACCAGGATGGTCTCGATCTCTTGACCTCGTGATCCACCCGCCTCGGCCTCCCAAAGTGCTGGGATTATAGGCTTGAGCCACCATGCCCAGCCCTAATTTTTATATATTTTGTAGAGATGAGGTTTTGCCACGTTGCCCAGGCTGGTCTCAAACTCTTGGACTCAAGTGATCTGCCTGCCTCTGCCTCAGCCTCCCAAAGTGCGGATTATAGGCATGAGCCACTATACCCAGCACATTATCTTCTTCAGGAAGTCTGTGGGTGTCCTCACAGATCTCCTCAGGCAGGAGGAGAGGGCAGTTCAGTCATACGGATAAATGCCGGCACAGTAGACAGTTGGTCATGGCTGTCTCTCTCATGTAGGTGCTGAGCGACGTCCTCAAGGACCTCTACCACCTGCTGAAGCACGTGGTGCATCTGGAGCCCGATGACGTGGCCAAACTCCATGCCCAGTTGGCCCTAGAAGAGCTGGATGACATCATGAAAAACTTCCTGTTCCCTCCACAGAAGCTGGAGAAGAAGATCGTGGTCCTGCCTTAGACCTGGCTCGAAGGACATGGAGGAGGCAGGCAGGGCCAGGCAGCCGGAGTGCCAGGCCTTCCAGCAGGTGGCCCTGCTGCCTCTTGAGTGCTGGCAGCATGGCTGACCCTAGGAGTGGCTTTATGGTGCTGGTCACTTGGGTCTTCAGGGTTCCTTCCTAAGGCATCTGTTTAGCCCTCCTGTATCCAGCCTGAAGGGTGTGCAGTTAAGAGAAAAAAATGACAAATCTCATTACTCTGCACATTTTTCACTGTCCTGTAGCATTGAGAGAAGGATGTCTACTTGGTGGAAGTATATTTTAACATGACTGATGGAATTTGACTAATTGCCCACTCTCTTGCAACTTGGGGAGAAGAGGTTGGCCACCCATATACCCATATATCACCTAGCTCTGCATTCTTTCAGGCTGAGATTCTTCTTCCTCAGGAAAATGAGAAGCAGAGCTGGTCACCCTTGGCTGCCCAATTTCAGAGTAGGAGATGCAGTTGGAGGTGGGGAGGGGAAGGAAATAGTTATTACATAATGCAAAATGGAATAAAATTATTTTGGATGGAAAGAACAGGGCTAAATCTGGTCCTCTGGTGTCGAGATGGAACACTGTGGAGTCGAAGAGACTCTGATGCCCAGAAAGGAGAATCAAGCTGGTTGACTCCCAAAGTGTGGATTACAGGCATGAGCCACTGCAGCCAGTCACATTATCTTTTCAGGAAGTCTGTGGGTGTCCAAAACCCTCCAGTGCCTCATGAAGCATCCTAGTACCTTTATATCTGTTTATAGATCACCTCTTAATTTGAACTATTTGGCAAGTGGCTAAAAACATCTGTTTTTTATTGATTTTTTTTTTTTGAGATGGGGTTTCACTATATTGCCCAAGCTATTCTCAACTTCTTTATTGATTTTTTTTTCTTTCTTTTTTTTTTTTTTTTGAGATGGAGTCTTGCTCTGTCACCCAGGCTGGAGTGCAGTGGCATGATCTTGGCTCACTGCAACCTCCACCTCCCAGGTTCAAGCAGTTCTCCCACCTCAGCCTCCCCGGTAGCTGGGATTACAGGCATGTGCTACCACACCTGGCTAATATTTTGTATTTTTAGTAGAGACGGGGTTTCACCATGTTGGCCAGGATGGTCTGCAACTCCTGACCTCAAGTAGTCTGTCTGCCTGAGCCTCCCAAAATACTGGGATTACAGGCGTGAGCCACTGCACCTGGCCTTTTTTTTTTTTTTTTTTTTTTTTTTTGGAGACCAGGGTCTCACTGTGTCACCCATACTGGAGTGCAGTAGCATGATCATGCACCCTCCACCTCCCAGGCTCAAGCTGCTTTCTGGCCCTTCTCTGGCCATTTGCCAGAGAAGAAGGGTAAACCCTGTATTTGTCCTCCCAGGCCATTTTTCTTCATTCCCTCTGCTGCTGTTTGCATAGAGTTGCCCTGATTATCAGGAGAAAAGAACCACAAGCATCCAGAGAGTTTACATCCTGCTTTCTGTGCTCTGCTCCTTCAGAAAGATGAATGCCGAGACAATGGGCTCACACTAAATTCGGGCTGGAAAGTGTGTTGCATGCTGGCGGCCTGATGCCAGGGCTGTTGAAACAATTTCACTTATAGCACGGTGGTCTCCACTTTATTTCTTGATGTATTTTGGCCGCTGCATTTTGTTTGCAGCTAAAAGAGATAACAGAAAGGAGATACTGGCTGGCTGCTTCAGATCAGCCCTCTATGTTGTCAACACCTTGATGAGGCTAACCCAGAGCTGCTTGATCAGTCCTGGGCTTTGTGGGGCTTAGGTACAGAATTTTATCACAGGATTTTGTTCCACTCTCTGGGGTGACCAGACCCATAGGGACCAAAATGCAGTTTGCAAAAGCTCGAGTGACTGAAGGATCTATATACAAACATGGCCATTTGCCAGTTAACAACAGGATATTTCTCTCAGGCCAGATCAGAGACATGGTTCGGAGTTCAGAAGCTCCTTGGTGGCAACCCTTTAAAGAGGCCACCTTATGAACAGGATCACAAGTTAGCTTAGTGAGCAAAGAATTGGAACAAACCTAGCTAGGTGTGTTTAAGGAATATTTCCATTCAGCTAGTGTAGCTGGATTAATTCCTATTCTCTGAATCAAGGATGTCTAGAAAACTGCCATTGTGGCTTTCAAATCTAAGGAGAATCTCCTTTGGGCCAGCTGGATATACAATAAAAATTGTTGTTTCTTGGCCTTGCTTTAAGTAGACTCCATACAACCCACTTCAGATTAGCAGATCGAATGTGTTACACAATCCATTTCACTTACAACTTCATTTGCATTAACTGCATTCCAGTTCTGAGGACAGATCCTATTTGACCACCTTGATTAGTTTAAGACACTCTAGTGCAAAACCCTCGAGTGCCTTTATCTCTATTTATAGATCACCTCTTAATTTGAACTATTTGGCAAGTGACTAAAAACATCTGTTCTTTCTTTATTTTTTTGAGATGGGGTCTTACTACATTGCCCAGGCTATTCTCAACTTCTGGACTCAGGCAATCCTCCCTGCTCAGCCTCCTGAGTACCTGGGATCATAGGTATGTGCCATTATGCCTAACTCTTTTTTTTTTTTTTTTTTTTTGGTGGGGGGACGGAGTTTCGCTCTTGTTACCCAGGCTGGAGTGCAATGGCATGATCTCGGCTCACCGCAACCTCCACCTCCTGGGTTCAGGCAATTCTCCTGCCTCAGCCTCCTGAGTAGCTGGGATTACAGGCACACGCCACCATGCCCAGCTAATTTTTTGTATTTTGGTAGAGACGGGGTTTCACCATGTTGACCAGGATGGTCTCGATCTCTTGACCTCGTGATCCACCCGCCTCGGCCTCCCAAAGTGCTGGGATTACAGGCTTGAGCCACCGCGCCCGGCCTATGCCTAACTCTTTATTGATTTTTTTTTTTTTTTGAGACAGGGCACCTAGGCTGGAGTACAGTGGCATGATCTTGGCTCACTGCAACCTTCATCTCCCTGGTTCAAGTGTGAGCCTCCCAAGTAGCTGGGTGGGACCACAGGTGCACACTGCCATGCCTGGCTAATTTTTGTATTTTTAGTAGAGACAGTATTTCTCCATGTTAGCCAGGCTGATCTCAGACTCCTGGCCTCAGCTGATCTGCCAACCTTGGCTTCCCAAAGTGCTGGGATTACTAGCGTGAGCCACCATGTTTGGCCTTTAAGACAGAGTTTCAATCTGTTGCCCAAGCTGGCATGCAGTAGTGCAGTCACGGCTCACTGCAGCCTTGACCTCCTGGAGTCAAGCAACCCTCCCACTTCAGCCTCCTGAGTAGCTGGGACCACAGGTGTGTACCACCATGCCTGGCTAATTTTTAAAATTTTAGTAGAGGTGACGTCTCGTTATGTTACCCAGGCTTGTTTCAAACTCCTAGGCTCAAGCAATCTTCCTGCCTCAGTTTCCTAAAGCGTTGGAATTACAGGCATGAGCTACCATGCCTGGCCTACATTTTTAAAGAGACAGGGTTGCACTTTGTCACCCAGGCTGGAGTGAAATGGCATGATCATAGCTCACTGCAGCCTTGACCTCCTAGGCTCAAGCAATCTGCCCATCTAAGCATCCCAAGTAGCTGGAACCACTGCACCTGGCTAATTTTTTTTGTAGAGACAGGGTCTTGCTGTGTTCCCCAAGCTGGTCTTGAACTGCTGGCCTCAAGCAATCCTCCCTTGTTAGCCTTCCAAAGCACTAAGTTTATAGCTGTGAGCCACCACACTGGGCCCTAATGTAATTCTCTTAAACATGACTAAATTATTAAATTTTTCCTGATTTTCTGTATTATATAGGGGTGTGTGTGTGTGTGTGTGTGTGTGTGTGTGTGTGTGTGTGTGTATGTGTATGTGTATGAATGTCAAGCCTTTGGGAAAGAATGTGAAAACTTTAGAATAATAAAATCTCAGGCCAGGCGCAGTGGCTCAAGCCTGTAATCCCAGCACTTTGGGAGGCCGAGGCAGGTGGATCATGAGGTCAAGAGATCGAGACTATCCTGGTCAACATGATGAAACCCTGTCTCTACTAAAAATACAAAACATTAGCTGGGCATGGTGGCGCGTGCCTGTAGTCCCACCTACTCAGGAGGCTGAGGCAGAAGAATTGCCTGAACCCAGGAGGCAGAGGTTGCGGTGAGCCGAGATGGCGCCATTGCACTCCAGCCTGGGTAGCAAGAGCGAAACTCCATCTCAAAAAAATAAAAAAATAAAAATCTCAAAAGCGAAATACATGGAAACAAAGTGACACTTCCCTGCATGGAACCTGTGAGGTGTGTCTTGTCTCCCACCCCCACTCTGCTCTTCTCCCTCAGAGATCACCTTCCCGCCTCCCACTGCCCTTCTGCTGCCGCCTCCACGTGGCCTACTGAGGCTCTCCCCTAGCCCCTCACCTTCAGCACCCTCTGCAGCCCAGCACCCTCTCTCCTAGACTCCTCTGTGGCACTCACTCACCCTTCTGCTTGGCTCTGTGCCTCCTCCTCTGCTTTTTCCTCTCCTAGGTTCTTCCTCCTCTTCCCAGTCCCACCATCCTCCACCCCCTTGCCCTGCAGGGGATGGCTCAGCCACAAGAGACATGCAGAGGCCCCACTCGTGGCTACAGCCAGACCCCAGGCTTCTGCCCAAGCTTGGACTGCTTTTTCAGGTTAGACTTCCTGAGCATTCTGGAGAGTTTCCCCTTTCTGCTTTGTTTTTCTTCCTTCTTGGCACAAACTTGCCCTTCTCTAAGTTCTCTGTTATTTAGTCAGAAATCTCTTAACTTTGGCTTTGCTCCTTATCGTCTCTCCACAGTCATAATTTCCCAATCTCCTCCTCCACATCCCTTGCTTCAATTCCTTTTTTTTTTTTTTTTTAGACAGAGTTTTGCTCTGTCGCCCCAGCTGGAGTGCAATGGCACAATCTTGGCTCACTGCAACCTCCTCCTCTTGGGTTCAAGCAATTCTCCTGCCTCAGCCTCCTGAGTAGCTGGGATTACAGGTGCCACACCCAGCTGTTTTTTTTTTCTATTTTTAGTAGAAACAGGGTTTTGCCATGTTGGCCAGGCTGATCTTGAACTTCTGACTTCAGGTCATCCACATGTCTCAACCTCCCAAAGTGCTGGGATTACAGGCATGAGCCACTGTAACCCACCCTTGTTTTGTTTATTCAATCCGTCCTCCACTTCTTTGCTTTCCCCTGGCTCTGCCCACCCATCCCCATGTAACAGCCAGTGTCCCAGGGACTGGGGTGTAGGAAAGCAAACCAAAGGCAATGACAACAATTTATTGAGCGCCTATTAGGTATCGAGCACCTTATTAGCACCTGTAAGTTTATGAGGCAGTAGAGGGAGACAGACAACAAGTAAGATAAACAATGTCAAGTGGGGCCAGGCACAATGGCTCACCCCTGTAATCCCCACACTTTGGGATGCTGAGGCAGGTGGATCACTTGAGGTCAGGAGTTCGAGACCAGGCTGGCCAACATGGCAAAAGCCCATCTCTACTAAAAATACAAAAATTAGCCAGGTGTGGTGGCATGTGCCTGTAATCACAGCTACTCAGGAGGCTGAGGCAGGAGAATCACTTGAATGAACCCAGAGGTTGCAGTGAGCTGAGATCGTGCCACTGCACTCCAGCTTTTGGGGAAAAAAAAAAAAAAAAAAAAAAAAAAAAAAAAAAAAAAAAAAAAATTTGGCCGGGTGTGGTGGCTCAAGCCTGTAATCCCAGCACTTTGGGAGGCCGAGGCAGGTGGATCACAAGGTTGAGAGATCGAGACCATCCTGGTCAACATGGTGAAACCCCGTCTCTACTAAAAATACGAAAAATTAGCTGGGCATGGTGGCGCGTGCCTGTAATCCCAGCTACTCAGGAGGCTGAGGCAGGAGAACTGCCTGAACCCAGGAGGCGGAGGTCGCGGTGAGCCGAGATCGGGCCATTGCACTCCAGCCTGGGTAACAAGAGCGAAACTCCGTCTCAAAAAAAAAAAAAAAAAAAAGGCCGGGCGCGGTGGCTCACGCCTGTAATCCCGTGGCTCACGCCTGTAATCCCAGCACTTTGGGAGGCCGAGGCGGGTGGATCACGAGGTCGAGAGATCGAGACCATCCTGGTCAACAAGGTGAAACCCCGTCTCTACTAAAAATACAAAAAATTAGCTGGGCATGGTGGCTCGTGCCTGTAATCCCAGCTACTCAGGAGGCTGAGGCAGGAGAATTGCCTGAACCCAGGAGGCGGAGGTTGCGGTGAGCCGAGATCGCGCCATTGCACTCCAGCCTGGTAACAAGAGCGAAACTCCGTCTCAAAAAAAAAAAAAAAAAAAAATTCAAGTGGTAAAAGTTGGAGAAAATAAAGTCAGGAAGGAGGAGAGTGGGAACAGTAAGTTGAAATTTGTTGTCCAAAGGTAGCCTTGCCCAGAAGTTGGTATTTGAGTAAGGATCAGGAAGTAAATTAGTGAGTACTAAAATAATGGGGGAAGAGCTTTCCAGCTAATGGAAACAGCAAGTGCCAAGGCCCAGAGGTGACAGCAGGTCTCAGGAGAGAGGGCGGCAGGCAGTGTGGTCCAAGCAGAGTGAGTAACAGGAAGGTGGAGGGGCAGTGAAGTGGGTGATCACATTGAGCCTTAGGGGCCACTTTGAACGAGGAGGGCACCCACAGACCTTTTATCACCTGCAGCTTCCATTTTTTTTTTGAGATGGAGTCTCACTCTGTCATCCAGGCTAGAGTGTAGTGGTGTAGTCTTAGCTCACTGCCACTTCCACCTCCCGGGTTCAAGCGATTCTCCTGCCTCAGCCTCCTGAATAGCTGGGATTACAGGTGTGTGCCACCACACCTGGCTAATTTTTGTATTTTTAGTAGAGACAGAGTTTTGCCATGTTGCCCGGGCTGGTCTCAAACTCCTGACTTCAAGTGATCTGCCCACCTTGGCCTTCCAAAGTACTGAGATTACAGGTGTGAGCCACTGTGCCCAGCCATGCAGCCTCTTCAGCTTGTTTACGGAGAGTGCTTTGAGGCCAAGATGATAAAATGTTGTAAAATAAGAAATACAAGCCAGGCTCGGTGGCATGTGCCTATAATACCAGCACTTTGGAAGGCACAGGCGGGTGGATCACTTGAGCCTAGGAGTTTAAGACCAGCTTGGGCGACATGTTGAAACTCCATCTCTATAAAAACAAAAATTAGCTAGGCGTGATGGTAGCATGCCTGTAGTCCTAACTACCTGGGATGCTGAGGTAGGAGGATTGCTTGAGTCCCGGAGTACTGCACTCCAGCCTGGGCGACAGAGTGAGACCCTGTATCCATAATGGAAAAATAAAAGAATTGCATATAACCATACCCCAACCAGTTTTTTTCCCTCTATAAAAAGGAAGCAGTATGCCCAGCCCTTTTCATGCCACCCCCCAACTTGGTCTCGGTGACTATTGTTTCAGCTCCTCTTTTCTGGTAGCAGCCATTTCTCCTCATTGGCCCAAAAAGAGGAGAGCAAGTGTGTTGATCTGCCCTGGGTCCATCCACCTGCTCTGTCTCTTTGTCTGCGACGGTGACTGAATGAAGCGCTGCCTGCCACCTGCCTTTTTGTGCCTCTCGCCCGGCTGTTTGCTGCATTGGAGGCCTGGCTACAACATGTGAAAGTGGATCAATTGGTAAGAATAAGTCGAGAGATGGGTCATTTGACCTGTGCAAAACCAGATAAGCTTCTGCAATCTTTGCACAGAAATTAAAATCTCAGCTGGATTGGCAAAGGGAGAGAATTAGAAACGGGAGCTGTGAGAGGTGCCACATTTCCCTGACCATAAGGGGGTCTTCTTCCCCAATACCTCCCTTCCCCCAGCAGCATCCTTGACCTCAGAGGGCCTGGCTGTGTCCTCAGCAAGCTCTGCAGCCACACTGCAGTGCGCGGCACCTCTGCCTGCCATGCTCCACTCTGTTGGAACTGAATCACCGCTTGGGGGTTGGGAACCTGTGTTGCTCCTTACAATACCCGGTGCTGCCTCTTCCCTGCAGGCAGAGCTCAGGGCTGTGCTCAGCGCCCTTTGCACAGGCTGGGAAGATGAGGAGGGAATGCAGACCCCACCATCAGCCCTGGAAGGCTGAAACTTAACCACTGGAGGCATCCCCCTCTGTTGTCCCTCCCCAGTTCTTCTAGGGAGTCAGCAGCCCCATGCTACCAGGCCTCCGTTTTTGTGCCCCTCCCCCCGAGTGCCCTCTGCAGTTCTTTGGAACACAGAGTTGCAAGATCAGTGTTTGTGTTTCCTTTAGTTTGGAAAGTCATTTTCCATCCAGAAGCTTGTCTGATTCTTAACAACGACCTTGAAGAACAGGGAGCCAAGCTCTTGGCATCCTCCCTTGGTGGGATTTGGCTCCAAGTCTGCTGGGTCGCAGCCAGGAGCCTGTTTACTACATCGGAAGACCCTTCATGAAATGTTTTGAACATCTGTTGAATACAATGAAGCTTCTCGACCCCAAAGTGAGTATAGAAGCAAAAGCCTTTCAAGCAGAGTACAGTTTGAGATGCAAACTCAGGTACTCACATATACACATGAACCCCAACTCGTGGGTCCCACCAAGAAGGCATTTGAGCTCCACTGACACATGCTCAGAGCTACCTACCGCCTTCCCCATGCCAGCCCTCTGCCCTCCAGTCTAAGGAGCGGTATACAGCCTGCAGGTACAGTGCCCCAGCTGCTGTATGTATTTGTGTACATTTTCAGATGATACGTGATGTGAATTCAAACAAGTTTAATGTATATGTAATTTGTAATAGTTTGTAATATGTGCACTTGGCTCTTTTTTTTTTGAGACGAAGTCTGTGTCACCAGTCTGGAGTGTAGTGGCATGATGTTGGCTGACTGCAACCTCCACCTCCTGGGTTCCAGTGATTCTCCTGCTTCTGCCTCCTAAGTAGCTGGGATTACAGGCACGTGGCACCATGCCCAGCTAATTTTTGTTTTTTTCAGTAGAGACAGGGTTTCCCCATATTGCCCAGGATGGTCTCGATCTCCTGACCTCATGAGATCTGCCCACCTTGGCCTCCCAAAGTGCTGGGGTTATAGGCATGAGCCACTGTGCCTGGTATTTTTTTTGTTGTTGTTGTTGTTGCAGACAGTCTCTGTCTGTCGCCCAGCCTGGAGTGCAGTGGCACAATCACAGCTTACTGAAACCTCCATTTCCCAGGCTCAGGTGATCCTCCCACCTCAGCCTCCCGAGTAGCTGGAACTACAGGCATGCACCACCTCACCCAGCTAAAATTTTTTTCTTTTTTAGACAGTCTTGCTCTGTTGTCCAGGCTGGAGTACACTGGTTCAATCTTAATTCACTGCAACCTTTGCCTCCCGCGTTCAAGCAATTCTCCTGCCTCAGCCTCCCGAGTAGCTGAGACTGCAGGGGTGTGCTACCATGCCCAGCTAATTTTTGTATTTTTAGTAGAGACAGGGTTTTGCCATGTTGCCCCAGGCTGGTCTTGAACTCGTGGACTCAAAAGATCCACCTGCTTCAGCCTCCCAAAGTGCTGGGATTACGGGTGTGAACCACTGCGCCCAGCTTGATACATATTAATTCCCTTAACTCTCACACTCTGAGATAGGTCTTACTATGACCCTGTCTATGGATGGGAAAACTGAGGCACTCAAGAGGAGAATTACTTGCCCAGATTACATAATCAGTAAGAAGTAGCCAAAACAGTACTGGGACCCTGGTAGTATAGCTCCAGAGGCTGTGCTTCTTAGCACTGTGCTTTGCTGCTACCCAATAGATACTGTATTTACAAAGAAAGAAAAACTCCCACAATCTCACGTCAGCTCCTACCCAAGATTGCCACTGACAAACTGGTGCAAAATCCTTCTAGATCTTTATTTATTACCATATTTTATTGCCACAAAGAGTGTCCCACATTTTTTCTGAGTCATAAACCTTTGACACTCATATCCGTACTCAGATCTCCTCCTTTGTGATGATAGCCTGGCTTCCATTGTTTGGGTAAACTGCAGCTTACGAATTTGTTCATTGATGATTCAGTTGACTTGTTTCTAATTTCCAATAGTTTTTCAATGATTCCCAGACATAACTTTGCATACTGAAATGTTTCTATGCAATAGGTCTTAAAAGGTTGGAGTGCCAGATCAAAAGAGTATAACCATTTCAAATGTTAGTACCAAAAGGTCCCCCAAAACGTTTGTACCCATCTACATTCCCCCACCCTCAACTGACTTTGCTTTAACACCCATGAAATGCAAGTTCAGTCTCAAAGCAGTGTTGATAGCATTCTCTAAATAATTCAAGACTAGGAAATCTTCAAGGCTGGAGTTTTCTGTGTACCAAAACCACCAACAGGGACACGCTAATATGCTTTGCAAGTTACACCCACCAGCAGCCATGTCCCAGCTGCAAATACTAATTAGGGGCTTATAATTACTAGTTAGTGACTTACAAGTACTCATCTGGGAGAGAAATCCTGAGCCCCTGCAGCCTATTTAAAAGAGGTTTCTCACCTTTGAGACTCTGCCCTTAGTATATAGAGTATGCCTTCTCATGGTGTTTGAATGTCCCTAGAATGATGACTATACTTCCCAAACCAGACTTGGAACATAAGATCTGATTGCCCCTTAAAGTACTGGGTTCATCTGGAAAGCCCAGGTTGAATGGTTGTACCTCTGCATCACTGTATGTCAAGATCATGATTATAGTTAACACTCTAAAGAGCTTATTATGCTCTTCCGTGCACTTGATACATATTAGTCCCTTCAACCCTCACACTGGGCCTGTGAGATAGGTATTACTATGACTCTATTGTACAGATAGCAAAACTGAGGCACACACAAGGCTAATTACTTGCCTCAAATTACATAGCCAATAAGAAGCAGCCAAACCAGTACTGGACCCAAGCAGTCTGGCTCCAAAGGCTGTGCTTTTTCCCATCGTGCTTGCTGCTCTCAATACATAGACACTAGATTTCCAAATGGTTACAATCTGTTCTTAGTGTAAGTGGTGATAAAGAAAGTGATTCCTGTGCAGTGGTCATGCCTGTAATCCCAGCACTTTGGGAGGCTGAGGCAGGTGGATCTCTTGAGGTCTGGAGTTCAAGACCAGCCTGGCCAACATAGTGAAACCCCATCTCTACTAAAAATATTAAAATTAGTTGGGTGTGGTGGCACAAACCTGTAGTCCCAGGTACTTGGGAGGCTGAGGCAAGAGAATCACTTGAGCTCGGGAGGTGGAGGTTGCAGTGAGCCAAGATTGTGTCACTGTATTCCAGCCTGGATGACAGAGCAGAACTCTGTCACACACACAAAAAGTGATTCCAGGCCGGGCGCGGTGGCTCAAGCCTGTAATCCCAGCACTTTGGGAGGCCGAGGCGGGTGGATCACGAGGTCAAGAGATCGAGACCATCCTGGTCAACATAGTGAAACCCCGTCTCTACTAAAGATACAAAAAATTAGCTGGGCATGGTGGTGCGTGCCTGTAATCCCAGCTACTCAGGAGGCTGAGGCAGGAGAATTGCCTGAACCCAGGAGGCGGAGGTTGCGGGGAGCCGAGATCGCGCCATTGCACTCCAGCCTGGGTAACAAGAGCGAAACTCCATCTCAAAAAAAAAAAAAAAAAAAAAAGTGATTCCCTGCTTGTTTAAATGGAACATCTATGTCAAGTTAAGCTTTAGCCCAAGTAGCCTCAAAATAGTGTCCTAGTACACCAAAACCCAACCTCAAGCCAGGCATGATGGAGGCCTTGGCAGAGGATCATTTGAGCCCAGGAGTTCGAGGCCAGCCTGGGCAACATAGCAAAACCATCTCTGGGAAAACAACCACAGAAACAACCTCAGACACCAAGGTTTATTATACCTCTTGTGTTTGACCTTGTAGTTTGCCCAGAAGCTGGAGAGGAGGTGTGTTAAAGCTCCACAGCCCACCTGCTCCTGCACTTTGGCAGCTTTGGTAAGTTGCTTATGGAAAGGCTTCTTTTGTACGGTGGCCAAAATCGCAAACATCTAAGACTGCCTTCCTGGGAGCAGAGGAGGCAGAAAGCCATGTGGCAAGTGTGTAACGTAGAAAATGTAGCAAGTCTTCCCATGAACTCCAGAAATGTCTTCTTCTTTGAAGATTATTGCTTTCCCATTCATTTCCTATAAGCAGGACTTCAGTTTTCAGATGTCATTCTCAGAATAACAGTGTATTATTTTTGTTTTTTGTTTTGTTTTTTCCTGAGACAGGGTCTCAGTCTGTCACCCAGACTAGAATGCAGTGGTGCGATCTCAGCTCACTGCAACCTCTGCCTCCTGGTTCAAGCAGTTCTCCTGTTTCAGCCTCCTGAGTAGCTGGGATTATAGGCACACGCCACAACATCCAGCTAATTTTTTTTTTTTTTTTTTTGAGATGGAGTCTCACTCTGTCACCAGGTTGGAGTTCAGTGGTGCAATCTTGGCTCACTGCAACCTCCACTTCCCAGGTTCAAGTCATTATCCTGCCTCAGCCTCCTGAGTAGCTGGGACTACAGGCGCATGTTACCACACCCAGCTAATTTTTGTATTTTTTAGTAGAGGTGGGGTTTCACCATGTTGGCCAGGCTGGTCTTGAACTCCCGACCTCAAGTGATCCATCCACCTTGACCTCCCAAAATAGTGGGATTATAGGCATAAGCCACTGTCCGCAGCCTACAGTATAGCACTTTTTTTTTTTTTTAGACGGAGTTTCACTCTTGTTACCCAGGCTGGAGTGCAATGGCGCGATCTCAGCTCACCACAACCTCTGCCTCCTGGGTTCAGGCAATTCTCCTGCCTCAGCTTCCTGAGTAGCTGGGATCACAGGCACGCGCCACCATGCCCAGCTAATTTTTTGTATTTTTAGTAGAGGCGGGGTTTCACCATGTTGACCAGGATGGTCTTGATCTCTTGACCTCGTGATCCACCCGCCTCGGCCTCCCAAAGTGCTGGGATTACAGGCATGAGCCACCGCGCCCGGCTCCAGTATAGCACTTTTAACGGTTATTCCTTGCTAGAAGCTCAAAGCATACATACGTTAATAGCTCTAGTCCCATGTAATTCCTTGAGAGAGAAAAAAAAAAGCTGGGCTAATGGCCCTCTTTGGAGAAGGGAAAAATAAGGTCCAGAGAAGTCAAGTCTTGCAAATAGAAAGTCAACCAGTTGGCCAGCCCCTAACTCCAGCATAGAGTGCAGGAGGCTGAGGGCAGGATCTGTTGATTTCAGGGGAGAGTGGTTTGCAGAGTGGGTGTGGTGCTGGAGTGGAGCGACTGGAGCACCTCTCTTCTGGGGAACTAGGAAAGCTCCTGGGCCTTTAAGTGGTTTATTAAATGATGTCAGGTTTTATTTTACTGTCTACCTTAACAGCAGGGGCCAGCTCAGAAGAGCTCCTGGGTGGGGTTTTTCTAATGTCTCATCACACGCACAGGTAGCCACCTGGTGCTGGGGAGAACAAAGCAGCCTGCTCTGCACTTCCAGAGTCTCTAGAGCCACCCTCATCCCCAACACCCACACATACCTTTATTGGACCACACACCACCTTCAAAACTTCAAAACTTGGCGACCATATTAATCCTAGAGAAAGGCCAGCCTGAAATTAGGCTGTCTGTGAAGAGAAGAGAATGGGAATGCTCAGGTTTCAAAGACCTGAGGTTTTGGCTGATCCGAGATATCAAAGGACAAGGTGCTATGTTGTAGGTTTTTCTCTGTGGCCAAGACCAGGGTGGTGTGAGAGAGAGTAATGGGGACTCCATTCCCCAAAAGTGAGCAGCTCAGACCCGTCATGAGCCTCTAGAGACTACTCTTCCCTATCCTTTGGGTAGGGAAAGCCCCCCACAGAACAGAAGTTCTGTCCTTTAGAAAACAAAGTGAATCCAAGGTGTCTTGACAGCTCTGTCCTCCCACAGGCTAGGACTGGCTGGGTTTTTGCCAGTTCTCCTGGGGAAAAAAAAGCAGACAGCAACTTAGTGAACAACATGGTTGCTGAAATCTAATTCCAGGTGCATTGGAGAGACCTGGGGACTCACCTTGCCCATCTGATCCTGTTCCTCTGTTTCTCCCTGGCTCTCCTTCCTAATTTCCAGATTAAATCCACATCTTTCCTTCTTTTATTTTGTTCCCTCTGGCTTGACAGTTCTTTAGTCCATTGTTAAGTTTTTTGTTTTTGTTTTTGAGACAGTGTCTCACTCTGTCACCCAGGCTGGACTGCAGTGTCACGATCTCAGCTCACTACTGTAACCTCTGCCTCCCAGGTTCAAGCGATTCTCATGGCTCAGCCTCCCAAAGTGCTGGGATTACAGGTGTGAGCCACTGCACCTGGCTACTGAAAATATTTTTTTTAAAGTTAGCCAGGTGTGGTGGTGTGCACCTCTAGTCCCAGTTAGTCAGGAGGCTGAGGTGGGAGGATCACTTGAGACCAAGAGGTCAAAGGTGCAGTGAGCCATGATTGCAATACTGCACTCTAGCCTGGGCAGCAGAGCAAGATTGAAAAAAAAAAAAAAAAAGAAGAATTGTGGTTGATGTTATCATAGCAAGAGCCAAACAAATTCGGAACAAGGTTACCTTAAGTGTAGACGGGGATTGTGTTCCACCAGTCTGGGAAAGTGTGTATGCACTTGTGTGTCCATTTTGTGTCACATAACTGTACCTGTGTGTGCTGCAGACCCTTGTGTGGGAGTAGGCTTACAACGCCCAAAGGAGAGAACCTCTCCCTGGGACTTTCCTGGCGGGGAGGACATTGCTGACATCACCAGGCTTGGCAATCCTTTCTTCAGGGAAAAGCCTCCTACTAGGGGAATCCTAGAGCTGGATTTAGCCTGTGCCTCCCCTCCTTGCCCAGGACGTTATGGTCCTCAATGAGGAAGTGAGGTGAATGTGAGCTGCCCCAACTGGGGTGTGCCAGCCAAACCACGTGCCTTTTTGTAATTCCCTCAAAGGTGCCGGAGGAGCTGGCACAGTTCTGCAGACCCCGCCTTTCCCTGCTGAATTTTTTTTTTTTTTTTTTTTTTGAGATGGAGTTTCGCTCTTGTTACCGAGGCTGGAGTGCAATGGCGCGATCTCGGCTCACCGCAACCTCCGCCTCCTGGGTTCAGGCAATTCTCCTGCCTCAGCCTCCTGAGTAGCTGGGATTACAGGCACGCGCCACCATGCCCAGCTAATTTTTTGTATTTTTAGTAGAGACGGGGTTTCACCATGTTGACCAGGATGGTCTTGATCTCTCGACCTCGTGATCCACCCGTCTCGGCCTCCCAAAGTGCTGGGATTACAGGCTTGAGCCACCGCGCCCGGCCTTCAGTGGGAGGAATTTAAATAAAGGAAATTACTCCAGTTTTGGCTACCACAAATCCTAAACCCTGGCCCTCCTGCTTTATTTGCTGCTTTCATTGTAAACTGAGGTTGTCAAACCTTTTTCACATGAATCCATGTATGATAGAGACTGCACCCCACCCTGCTCCTAGCTTATAAGGAAGTCCTGTAAACTCAGAATTTATGTTTTTTGTTTTGTTTTGTTTTGTTTTTTGTTGAGACAGTGTCACCTAGGCTGGAGTGCAGTGGCATGATCTCAGCTCACTGCAACCTCTGCCTCCCAAGGCTCAAGTGATTCTCTTGCCTCAGCCTTTTGAGTAGCTGGGACTACAGGTGCATACCACCATGCCCGGCTATTTTTTTTTTTTTCGTTGTTTTTTTTTTTTTTTTTTTTTTTTTTTGAGACGGAGTTTCGCTCTTGTTAACCCAGGCTGGAGTGCAATGGCGCGATCTCGGCTTACCGCAACCTCCGCCTCCTGGGTTCAGGCAATTCTCCTGCCTCAGCCTCCTGAGTAGCTGGGATTACAGGCACACGCCACCATGCCCAGCTAATTTTTTGTATTTTTAGTAGAGACGGGGTTTCGTTGATCTCTTGACCTCGTGATCCACCCGCCTCGGCCTCCCAAAGTGCTGGGATTACAGGCTGAGCCACCGTGCCCGGCCTTTTTTTTCGTATTTTTAGTAGACACAGGGTTTCACCATGTTAGCCAGAATGGTCTTGGTCTCCTAACCTTGTGATCTGCCCACCACGGCCTCCCAAAGTGCTAGGATTACAGGTGTAAGTCACCGCGCCCCGCCTATCTTCAGTTTTTTTGCAACATGGGGTCTCTATGTTGTCCAGGCTGCTCTCAAACTCCTGGACTTAAGCAATCCTCCCACTTCAGCCTCCTGAGTACATGGGACAATAGGCACATGCCACTGTGCCTGGCCTTAAAATACCTTTTTAATACAAAATTGTTTTACTTATTAATAGAAATTTCAGAGAAAAAAAATTCATTGTTCTACCACCTGATTTTAATATAATATCAAACCTATGCCGGGCGCGGTGGCTCAAGCCTGTAATCCAAGAACTTTGGGACGCCAAGGCGGGTGGATCACGAGGTCAAGAGATCGAGACCATCCTGGTCAACATGGCGAAACTCCGTCTCTACTAAAAATACAAAAAAAATTAGCTGGGCATGGTGGCACATGCCTATAATCCCAGCTACTCAGGAGGCTGAGGCAGGAGAATTGCCTGAACCCAGGAGGCGGAGGTTGCGGTGAGCCGAGATCGTGCCATTGCACTCCAGCCTGGGTAACAAGAACGAAACTCCGTCTCAAAAAAAAAAAAAAAAAAAAAAATCAAACCTATTAATATATTATTAAACCTGATTTTTTTTTTTTTGAGAAGGGGTTTCGCTCTTGTCGCCCAGGCTGGGGAGCAATGGTGTGATCTTGGCTCACTGCAACTTCCGCCTCCCGGGTTCAAGCAATTCTCCTGCCTCAATCTCCCGGGGAGCTGGGATTACAGACTCCCACCACCACGCCTGGCTAATTTTTTGTATTTTTAGTAGAGATGGGGTTTCACGATGTTGGCCAGGCTGGTCTCGAACTCCTGACTTCAGGTTATCTGCCTGTCTCAGCCTCCCAAAGTGCCGTGATAAAAGGCGTGAG